TGTCGTATTCACATGAACTGTTATTAAGAATTACTTCTTAATTGCGCAATTGTTGATAAATATGAAGAATAAATTTTGCTGATAAAATTGCTAAAAATAAAAGAATAATAAATTAAAAGGAACGGATATTCTTGTGAAAATAAATTATAGGAAAATATGACTAAAGGTATTCAAGGGAAATAGATGAGTATTTAGACTGTAAATCCTCCTAAGTGTCCAAATAACTGAAATTCTTCTTCAACTACTTAGTTCCAAACCCTTATCGCTGCAGAAAATTCTGAATTAAATCAATACCTTTCTTAAGGATAATGATTCCTAACTCTCAGTTGATCAATCAGAATCTCTTCCTTAATTAATACCCCTAGGTTGCATTAACTCCATTATGAATTCCATAATTAGGGTTAATCCTAATACAGAAAATTTACGTTTTTCTATCTCTAGAAATATATTCAAGTCTTTTCAATTGAGCAATATTAATTTCATGCAGAAATTTTACTCAAATTCAAACAAGAAAACAAGATGGAAGAAAATTGATACTACTCAATTAAACCCAAGATAAAAGAACATGAAATAGCATTAGAAGAATTCCAGAATATTTGGTCAATTAGGATTTATTACGTCTAGATACTCAAAGGAAAATTAGAACCTAAACATCTTGAAACTAAAATTACAAAAGAGATGAATTAAAACGCTTGATCTCATCCTCCAGCCGTCACTGACTCTTTCTTCTCCCAAAAACAGCGTCCCTTAATTTTGTGTCAAATTTTCTTTTTATAGGAATCGTCCTAGGGCTTATCTTTTCACAGAAGTTTAAATTCTAATGCATGTGAAAGTACACGCCCAAGTACACGGCCATGTACTTTGTTCGTGTACATCTCTAGTTTCTAATAGACGCCCTTTAAAGCTTTCCATAAAAGTACATGCTCATGTACACGGCCATGTACTTTGGCTGTGTACATCTCTAGTCTCTGATAATTGCACTTCACAACTTTCTTGAAAAGTACACGCCCATGTATTTTGACCGTGTACATCTTTGGTTTTGATGATACACTTCAATTGACGCGACCAGTGAGATACAAGCTCATATACATGGGCATGTACTTGCCCGTGTATATCTCTAGCTTTATTGTGTTCTTGATTCATGCAACCAATGAGATACACACTCATATATACGGGTGTGTACTTTCCTGTGTATATCTCTGGTTCTTTGTATGCTTCAATTCCCAATATCTTTTAAAGTTTTCACTTCTTGATCATTTTTCCTGAAATATGAATAAAATGAAATTAATAATAGTAAATTTTCTCAACGAATAACTTAAAACCCTCAATTATCATTAATGAATTACAATGTAGGATTAAGTATAGAAAGCATTTATCAACATGAGAAGAAAATAGGATGAAAATTGGGTTACAAGACATGCTAAATAGATTGACATATGGAACAACAGGCGTGAGCTAACAATAACGGGTCATCCAATGCAAGGCCCATTATGTCACACACAAGAATACATGGAATGGTACATTGCCAATTCCATCTATTTCCTATCTGTGCCACCACTACTACAAGATCCAAGAAGGAGCTACCAACAACTAAAGACTACCAACACATTTGAAATCGATACGACTTCCACACCGTCGTATCATGAGACTACATCAATTCCTCTGAACATCACACCAGAAACAAACATAATTAATACAAGACATTTGTTTGCAATAACATCGGAGGATTTTTTTTACAAACTTATTTGGAGTTAATTTTACAACTCCACCTTCAGCACAAACTTACATGCAGTCTCTTTACTAACCGGATTTTGCTAATGAACCTAGTAATTCATCAACTGTATTCCAAGAATTAAACCTTCACGATGTTATTTAATTTTTATTTTAAATTTTAAAATTAAATATTAATATAAAAACAAAAAAAAGGGGCTGTTACAAGTTGGAATTCGACTCTCCTGAGACCGAATTCTGACTTGAATAGTAAAATAGTCTATATTGGTAATAAAATGTGCAACTATTTCTATTTTTTTTTGTAATATTTTAGAAAAAATTCCATTTTCAAACCTCAAATTCTCTCGTTATGACATGTTCAAACTCAATAGACAATAGCATTACAATAAAAAGTCATACAACATAAACATAACTAAATAAAATATAAGTGAAGCTATCAAAAGATGAGAGACTTTCCTTATTCAATGTAACTCGCGACAAATATTAAGGTTAACCTTTAATTAGGAACTATCAAGACCAAAACACATATTTGCAAATTAGATAGTATTATAATTTCTTAATTATGGACACTACATATGTGACTATTAAGAAGATGAACGAATGCAACTCATAACTTATCCAAGAGAGAGGTACTAAAGTTTTAGGTTTTCTCTTTTGATAAGACCTTAATTTTTAAAAATAATAAAAATAATAAATCTTGTGATAAGCTATATACAACAAATGAATATTTTTTAGTGATTTTTTAATTTTTATTTGAATTAATGAAATAAAAAAAATCAGTTCTTGTAATAATGTGTAAATAATCAAAGAATAATAATTTTACTGTCTTTTTCTTTTTTGCTGTTTTATTTTACAAATCAATGAAATAAAATATTAAATCTTGTCATAAACAATAATAAATAACAAAGAAATATATTTTTAATAATTTTTATTTTTTTATTTTTCTATTTTTCTCTTAAACTAATTAAATAAAATAAAAAAATAATTAAATGTTGTAATGTTATAAATATTTTAAAGATAATAGTAATTTTTCTTTTTGAGAGTAAATAATAAAATAAAATAAAATAAATATTATGATTAACTATAAAATTGTGTATTTATACTATTATTATTGTTATTATTGTTGTTATATTCACGGAAGTTTACTTGTAAATAATATTATTTTATATAAATATATTATTATTATTTCTATTATATATTTAAAAAAATTAAATTTAGGCAATGGCTAATTGATAACAATTGAGTAGTTAATTTACCTTTAATATTATTTAGATATTAAGTTACACGTATTAATTTGAACGTAAGAATGAGTTTATATTTAATAGTTAAAAATAATAAGAGTCTAAAATTAATTTTTTTTAAAATAATTTTTAAATTTATGAAACGATCAACCAATGTTAATTGAGTAAGAATTTATTGAATATTCATGTATTAATTTAAACCTTAGACAAAATTGAATTTATTTCTAAATAAAAGAGATGGTTTAAAAAAAAAAAAATCCTCCTTCAACTTAATCCTTTTAAAAATTTTAATTTGTTATCAATTTAATCTTCCTAAAAATTTTAGTTTTTTATTATACAAATTAAATATTTTCAAAAAATATTCTTTTCAAAATTTAAAATGAAAAATTAAGAGAATGTGCGTTTTCTCTTTTAAAAAAAGTTTTTTATTTTTAAAAATAAAATACAGTATAAATTTATATTATATTTTAATTTTAAAAACAAAAATTATTTTTAAAAAATAAATCAAATATGTTCTAAATAAAAAAATTTAATTTTAAAGAAATTTAATATTTAAAATTTTTTATCTTTAAAACTTATTAGCAAATATTTTTTTAAGAAATTATGACTTTAATTTCTTTATTACGCTTTAAAGATTCGTAAGAGTAAAAACTTAACTTGTCAGAGCCAAAAAAAATTTAAAACTTTTTCTTCTAAAACATGAAAAACATCATCTCTTTAATACTTTCTCTATCTAATTTTTAATTCCAAAAGAAAATTCAATTTTTTTTCAAACAATAAAATTACTACATTTTCTTAATTTAATTTGAAAAACAAAATTTCAAAATACTTTTTTTGAAAGTTTATTTCTTTTATCTAAAATTAAAATAAATTATAAATAGTTTATTCTTTAATTTAAATTAAAAAAAATGAATACTTTTTCTAAAATTGTGTTTTTTATTTTAAAATATAAAAGAAATTTCTTATTTTATATATATATATATATATAATCATAAATAAAAAATAAATTATTTTCTTTTAAGAGTGAAATAGATATTTTTAAAATTTAAATAATGTTTATAATTAATTAAAAATAACAATTTTATTTAATAATCATTATAGAGTACTAATATATTTATTGTGTGTAATAAATATGGTTTTAAAAATTATTATTTAATTAAATTTTTTTCAATATTTTTTTATAATAATTATCTATCATAAATTTTTTTTAAATTAATTGCAACCCTTTTTATTTTTTTATGAGATTGCTATCATGACATTGATTGCAATATATATAATTTTATATTTATTTTTTAAAATTATTAATGTTTAGTATCAAGCAGGGACCATGAGGTGCTGGTTAAAAGAATTTACAGTAGTGTAGTGAAATCTATATTAAAAATGAAGGGTGCTGGCAAAATAGACAAAATCTATATCAGACATAAACTAGCACATTGATATCATTAAGGATTTCCGATTAAACATTCAAATAGAAAAACAATGAGTAAAGACTTGAACAAATTCACCTGAAGAAATCTATGTACAAAAAGCATAGCTAATAACCATATCAGATAATAGAAGGATCAATTCCTTGCAATTTTAGCACTTATTCCACTTTCTGGTTCCGATGTAATGATGAAGCTATTTCAAGCACTGCTAACATACACCTCATTGCTTTCATAAACTAAAATACATCCACCTTTTACCATTTTTTACATTATCAATTTAGATTTTTCAAGTCTAATTATCCATCCCCCTTCTCAGTTTCAGATGCAAATCCCTGCAATCAAGTTAGCTATTTACATTAAAAAAATACAGTAAAATTTTAAAATTGGAGCAACTGCACACAATCCACATGCTCCGGCAACCTACCAGCGATTACATGACCCTTCTCTTTGTAGAGTAAAACAGATAGAGAGAATGGAAGAAAACTGGAAGGAATCAGACTTTTATTGAATCCAAATGAAAAGCTGATGCAAAGCCTTAACAGAAGTTAAATAGAATTCAAATTGAGCCAACGGCTTCTAAAAGATATGAGCACTGTCACACTTAAAGAAATTCTTTTCCGTGAACGTTCTTCGTCAAATACTTGTCAGCTAATTCGTCCAGAGTCATATCAGCAAACTGGTTCAACCCAAGTCTGTATGAGTGGTTTCGAGTATTCTGTTCATTTATGTATCTCAAATTGTCCTTAAAAATTTGAAACCTTTTCTCCTTCTCTTCCGACCCATTATATACCTTTCCGTGCTTCACTAACCACTCCTCGAATATAGCACTCACCTCTTTCGCCTTCTCCTCCTCCTTCTTCTCGTTCTTCACCAACCCTCTTCTCAACCTGCGTGAGATGCTGTAGGAGCGAATGGGGGTGGAGAGGAAGGGTTCTTGGACGATGTTGGGGTGTAATTTGTGCGATTTAAGGATGTCTGATAAGCGGTTGGATTTGGAGAGGCGGCGAACCATGGACTCCGGTGCATAGCGAGGGGTGAGGGGGAATGAGTAGTGTTTGGAGAGAGCGCACCGGATTGAGATTGCCGCTCGGAGCATTTTTAGGGTTCGGCATCGGAGACGTATAGAATATTAGGAAATTGGAAAGGGTGTGTCAATATATTAGAGGAAATTTCTTCGAGAAACAATAGTTTTATATTAAAAATATGTAAATTAAAAAAATAATTATGTAACATACAAAATAATAATAATTATTAATTTTATATTAAGAGATAATAAGATTAATAATTTATATAATATATATATATATATATATATAAATACTCTTAAATTTATTAGATTTTAAAAACTATAACTATCGACTTAAAAAGAATAACATTCTTTATGTATACTGCAACAAATATTTATATTAAATTCAATTTTTTATTCATAAATAAAATATAATTAATATATTTAATAAACTATTAAAATAGGTAAAATTTATAATAATAATATTTTAATTATTTTATGCAAATCAACTTTACTTTTGATAAATTTATTTAGTAAAGAATTAATACTATATTATTTTATTAATTATGTTAATAATTTATTTAGTATACTTTATTAAAAATTTATACATTATTTATGTATTATTAAATTTTAATAAAAATAAAAATTGATTTATAATTTTACAAAATTATGTACTCGTCTCATAGATTGTATATATAATTAGTATTTTTAAAACAGTATTTTTACTATTTATATTTATAAAACGATAACTAATATTTATTATTAATTTTAAGTTTATAAAATATTTAATATGATTATTTTATATTAATTTAAAATTATATAATTTTTTATTATTTAATATATATATATATTTATGATTTTATAAATATACAGAGAATAAATACTACTATTATTATTAATAATAAATATATTAATATAAACAAATTAAATATATATTTTTAAAAATAAAAGATGTTCGAAGATAAAATTTAAAATTTGAACAATAAATACAATAAATAAGTGATATTGTTAGAAAATATAATATAATAAAAAAGTAATATGTAACTTTTGATACTTTTTTAATTTTTGTACTTAATAATAATTTTTATTTTTTATTTTTTAAATTATTAATGATTAATGCTTTTTTCATAAAAATAATTTAAAAAATCTAAATTATTAGTGAATAGATAAAAACTAAAGTACATATTTTCTTTAAAAAAATAAACTTCTTAATTTATTATATTTTTTGTTACAAAATTTATGTCTTTCATTTCTTTTTAAAAAAATGGGTCTTTTATTTATCTTAAAAAAAAATCATCGTCTAACTTGCTTTAGGCTACGTATATATAGGACCAAACCCCAAAGCATAATTTTAAACTACTGTAATTTATTTTCATATCATCTTAAAATAATGAAGACATCTCAAATTTGAAATATATATATATATATATATATATATATATATATATATGTGTGTGTGTGTATTTATATATATTTATACTAGTGTAAAATTAATTTAAGATGATTTAATTTATGAGCTTTAATTCAAATTAACAGTATTATTTATTACTCTATTTTAGAGGGAAAACTATGAATAGTTTAAATGTATATTAATATTTAAATTTGTAAAATAATTTTTTAAATTTTGTTAAACATTTATATAAAAATAAGTAATTATTTTTTAAATAAAGTGATGACTCAAAAAAAAAAGTGCAATGTTAATTTGAAAAAGTGACGCGTAAAAAAGTAAAAGATAAGGTGGTAATTTTGTTGTTGAACTGCATACAGTGTCTTCAACCGATAAATAATTCATTTTGTTTTATTATTTTAGAAATTAAATTGATATTATATTTAATTATTAATATATATATATATATGTTTAAAATTTTATATATAAATATTTCAAAAAGACATAAAAAATAAAGAAAACAATTAGAAGCTATTTACTAAAATTGTTAAAAGAGTAATTGTTGAATTCATTTTAAACCATTGGATTTGGACTGCTGAAGGCTAGAAAGCAACCAGTCGAGTTTTGTAATTTTATGTAACTTTTAATTATTTTTGAGAACAAATAAAACTCATGTTAGCTTTAAGTTTTGGTCGATGGACACGTGGAATAAAACCATGCATGTTAGTTTTAATAATTTGCTTCTTATAAAAACATGAAATGATTTGTTGTGGACTCATTTCATACAATTTTTAAGAGTCATATGATTGGAGTTTCTTTTTTTTTTTTTCCTTGGTAACAATATGATTGGACCTGAGAGTTGTTTGAATAGAAAAAAACAAAAAACAAAAAAGGCTTGATATTTTAAGACTCGTACAAAAATTAATAAAATAAAATTTAAGCAAGTTGGAAAAGCTCTACCAATAGAGATATACTCCATATATAATATATCCCCCCCCCCCCCCCCTTTTAATTATTTAAGCAACTTTTAACTGCAACTCAACTTTTACCAATTCTTATTATTCTGTTTTTTATTTCAAAATATGATAATAATAACTGTTAGCTTATGTTAAAAAAATTTAACTTAAGCAACTCCCCTTGGAAATTGATGAGTTGACATTTTAAATAAAGAAGTATTTTTATTTAATCAACTGTTGTTTAAGTTAAAAATTAGAAAAAAGTGAGATTCTTAGAATCATTTTCAAAATACCAAATAAAAAAAGTTAAAATTGATAAAAGTTGGGTCAGAGCTAAAAATCACTTAAGTAAAAAGAAGTAATGTATTGTTATAATTAAGACCTATATAAAAATTAATAAAATATAATTTAAGCAACTCTTTAGAGTTAAAATGTTTTTGGATAAAAATTACATGTGCACGTTGGTCCATGCTACCTGATAACCTTTGTCCTCCATATTATTTAGCAGTCTAGAAGCTAGAAGATATATTAAGATGCTTAAATGAACTATTTTTAAAATCAACTTATCAAAAAGTATTTTCTATCAGTTTAAATAAGAGATATTAGAATTTTTTAAAACCTTTACAATTAAATATCCCCGTTATTAGATGAAGTGTACAGAACCATTGATTCGAATATTTTTAAATCATAATTTTATGTTCACCTTACACTTTTTTTTATATCACTCATAATGTTTATTTATTTATTTATTTATTTATTTATTCTCTCTCTTTCTCTTTAAGATGTATATACCCTCCTCAGGAGCACAAGAAAAGATATGGTTCACGATTGAGAGGATATATTCTGGCTAGTTGCCGTGGTACTTGAATGCTTTGTTTTGGCAGTGAGCATGGCGATCTAGTAGCTCCTGGGTTAGTGCGATGCATATTATATTGTCAAATGTGATGCACATTTTTTTGCTTTATAGTTTTGAGCACATGCCACTGTTACTTCTTTCCCCGGCATTCTGCTCCACAACAGAGAAGATTACACAGTGTGTTCCCTTTTCTGTGTCATTGTTATGCCATTGCATTGATGTTAGGGCTGATTTCAGTGTGTACCTTCAAACTCAGTGATTATGAGGCACATATATTTTAAACCTTGTTATGCTATTGCATGGCGTTGTCCCAGCATGATATGGTACCTCAATACCCTGTTGTTTTATAATTCAGCCACGTCTTACCAGTTCTGGAAAATAAAACCCTTTATTTGATTTATTAAAATGGAAAATAAGATGAATTATTTAAATTTGATATTTCCAGAAGACCCGACTTTTGTTTCCTCAGGCCTCGACTTCGCTTTTTGACAGCCTGTCTATTCAATATGAATAATAGTAGTATTTTTACTTTATATATATATATATATACACACACACATATATTTCTCTTCCCTTCATTATTTTATTTTATTTTTTCTTTCTTTCTTTCTTTTTATTGTTCTTCTTGATATAGATATTATGAAGTAAATATTGCATTACTCTACAATATTGCCTACTATCGAAGTTGATCATAAAGGTCACAATTTTTGTGTACACACATATATGATAATGACAAATGATTGAAACTAATTTATAAAAGAAATTGTATGAAGACGAAAATATAAAATTTTTATATAAAGTTAAATAAGAAATTCGTGATGAGTATAGTTACTATATTTTTAAATTAACCAAAACTCGACAGTAAAGAAAAAGTTGTGCTATTAAACTGAAGGTTGAAGACGAAGGTATTTAAAATCAAAATTACCGTATTATCTTTACGTACGAAATATTTAATGAAAAAAAAAATCATATGCTAATGAGAAGTACAGATTTAATTATACAATTTTGTATAAATGATTAAAATTTGTTTAAAGGTTGTGTGACTAAAGAAAAAATAAGTCACGTGACTTATATATACATATATATATATATATATATATATATATATATATAATTCTTTTTATCTTATTTATCTTTAGCCAACTAACAAAAGAAGGATTAAATTATGATTACTTGTATAATAAAATATCTCTTCTATAAATTGTTTTGAGTCATCTGACCCATTATACAATCTCTTCCATCTCTAAATGATTGTTTATATATAAAAATAAAATTTGAATAAAAAGTATTTAAAAAAATAAAATAATACGATTCAATCTCTCTTCTTCGTGCTTTTATCAATTTTATCTTTACAATAGTAATATTACATGTTTTTTACAATATTATTCATATAACATTCTATGTAATAGTTTTTTTTTCATCACATTATTCATCTTAATAAACATTTCAATATTTTCTCTTCCTATATATCTCTTCGTTGCATTAAAATTGCATTTTTTCCAATTTATCCTATTTTTCATTAATTGCTGTGATTACTTACTGTTAGAAATTGTGGTTTTTTAAAATCATTTATGATGATTTTTTTTATTTCCATAGCTAAATAATAAATATAAATTCAATAAAAAAATTAAAGAATCAAATTTAAATAAAAATATTGTCAGAGAATCAAAATATTAATTTTATTAAAGACGAGAGTTTATAATTATTTATTTTATATCAATTATGAAATTATATTCAATATATAATTTTATGTTATTGATATTTTTAACAAAATATCTTTTCTTTTACATGTTTTATTTTTATTTACTTAATAAATTATATTAAATATTAACAACATATTTTGATTAATTTTTCAAATTAAAAATTAACAATATTAAGTAGCTAGAGTTTG